AATAAAATGTTAAAAAAAAAAAAGGTTCTTTTAGCGACTTCCCTTGATCAGACCCTGGGCTGTCTGTGAGCAGCAGTGGCCCTCAAGCTGCAGGTTAAGGTACAGCAGCAACAAAAAAGACACCCAGCACCAACCACTGCAAACAAGCCGACTGCCATTGAGTCAATTCTGACTTCTGACAAAGCCCCCTTTGTGGGTTTCCGAGGCGAAAGCCTTTGTGGGAGTAGAAAGCCCGCTTTTTTGCTTGTGGGGCAGGTGGGAGTCTTAAACTGCTGATGTTGTGGAGGGCAGCCCAATCTGTAATCACTGTGTCGCCAGAGCTCCTCAGTGTAAGTCTAAAGTGTAGTAAAGAGGAAGAGTCTGAGAATTACTTCTTTGTTAGCAATGTGATGTGATAGAGAGAGAGAGAGAGACTGGGATGTTACTGAATGCACTGTTGATAAAATATGTTCATTTTTCTCTTTTTAGTTTTTCATAGGATTGCTTCTTATCCTGATTCTTCAGGTGGCAGCCGGCGCCGTAGGAGTTATTTTGAAACCTCAGGTGTGTTCCGTGTGATGGTTAATCCTTTGGGCAAGTTCTGAGAAAGTGAAATGCTACCTTCCTGTATGAATAATTTACGATGTTTAATCCTCAGATGGAACGTGAACTTAATCAGACACTTCATGAAGATATAAAGCTTTTGAGTGAAACCAGTGAATCTGCCGTGAAATACCAGACCACGTTAGCTGAACTGGAAGAAAGGGTAAGGATGAGTAAAATCGGGTCCCTGGGAAGTTGGACAGAATTCTGTGTATATTTATTGAAAAATGTTTCCATTTTGAAGATTTGAGTGATGATTAGTTCTCCATGGAATATAAGCAATATAATACCGTTTGTAGCATTCTTCTACTTGGCATCAATTCAGAAGCAGTTTAAAAGGACAGCAATTAAGAAAGCTATGCTTATGAGTTTAAGCCTCAATAATTCTTTTCATAGTTTTCATGTAGAAGCAGCGTTTATTCGACATGTTTGAGGAATCACTCTCTTTCCTGCCACTCCTTGGTACAAACAACTAGGGCTGAAGTTTATTGCCACTTACTGTATCCCGGCTTTACTGACAGTAGCTCATGTATTCCTCACAACAAGCCTATATGGTGGGTAATAGCATTATCTGCATTGTACAGATGGAACTCCTTAGGTAGTGCATTCACCAATGCACTCAGCTGTTACTCAAAAGGTTGGAAGTTCAAGTCCACCCAGAGGTACCTTGGAAGAAAGGCCTGGTGTTCTGCTTCTGTACAGATTGTAGCCTAAATAACTAACCTCTGTGTGGAAGTTCTACTCTGTCACATGGTGTCGGTATCGTTGGAATTAACTGAAAGGCAGACAATAACTTTTTCAAACCAGTATGCTGAGGAAATCTCGAGGCAGGCTAGGAGTTCTTTCCAAGAGTACAATTGCCATTGCCATCATACCACACTTTGTCAAGACCACCTCTGGGTCCCTGCAGCAATTCTGCCTTCCTGCCTGTGCCTCATTCCCAGTCTTGGAATGTACGTACTATTGTTCTCTTTCTTTCTGAATACTACTTGTGGTTTCAGATTGAACTACAATGTTACTTATTCTATGGAATTCCTGCTGAACACATCATTATTCAAAATCCCTTCCTATTAACTATGCATAACAATCATTTCACAAATTCTCAGAATCACATCGGAGGGACAGATTTTGTGGATGCAGTTTTTATACATGGCCATCCATTCTCTAATGAAATATTGAAGAGCTGAGGGCTTTGTTCAGCCCATTCAATTCAGAGACAGATCTGGTTCTTGGTATGTTATCTTAATTTGAAACAAAATCTCCCTCCTTGGAACTTACTTCATTTCTCCCAGGGTTTCAGAGGAAAAAGAAATGCTATCGAGGCACCGACACAGGGAGACTTTGCCTTGGAAAATGGCTGTTGTGTGACTCCTTCAAGTGGTGCTTGGCACTTTCCAAGTCGCAGCATCCTTGATTTCTCATGCCCTTTGTCAGATGGCGGCTCTGCCCCAGAGAATTTCTGGTGTGAAGCATCATCTATCCTTGTTGAACTCCTCTGTGTTGCCCTCTGGCTAGCTCCCCCATAGCTGTTTCCCTCATTCTCTTGTTCTCTATAGAATCATTCCCATTTTCAAGCTCAGATTTATCCAGGCTAAAGAAGAAAGACGTCAGGTAACCTTAATCTCTCCTCGATGTGGGGCTAGCCCTTTACTATTCAATTGGCCTGGGATAAGATGCACTAGAATAACCAGTGGGCTTCTGGACAAAAACCTGTGGTTCACAGTCTCAGCGTCAACTGTGGGTTTCTTTTTAAATATATTTTTAAAATCGTTTTATTAGGGGCACATACAACTCTTATCCCAATCCATACATACAGCAATTGTGTAAAGCACATTTGTACATTCTCAAAACATTTGCTCTCCACTTAAGTCCCTGGCTTCAGGTCCTCATATTTCCCCTCCCTCCCTGCTCCCCCCTCCCTCATGAACCCTTGATAATTTATAAATTATTATTTTGTCTTATCTTGCCCTGTCCAACATCTCCCTT